GGCCCTCAGCCTGCGATCGCTCTTGGGCTGCGGCTCTCGGGCTCTTTGGCTCTGACTCTCACTACTCAGCATTTTGTTGTGCACTGGTCATGGGTGGTGAGAAATTGTACCATATTGTATCATACTGTATCATATGTTTTATTTTCTATTATTTTAATTACTTATTAGTAATAGTATTTGTATATATGAATATAGATTTACTTAGTCAATAGTTCTTACCTCAATTTTACGAGCTTCTTTATTTCTTTTTCCTCTGATTCTCCCCCTCCACTGGAGGAGGGGAGGGGGATTTGTGAGAGCGGTTTCGTGGTGTTTTGCTAGCCGGAGTTAAACCACGACACTGTACATGTGATGAATGCCAAATCCAGCGAGCTTACATACCAACACTTTGCCTCGACCGAGACTGCCTGTTCAGTGTGAGGCGTGCACCAGTCCGTACACCTAGCTCATTGTAGTCGGAACGAGAGCTACCTCTGTCGCAGTATTAGAGAATGCTGTTTGGGTTTAAACCCCGCCGAGCTTTGAGCAGGATTAGATTTCTAGACCGGCCTTCCACCCTCACCTATTCTGCAGTTCTGTTTGCAGGAGGAAGGGGCTCTGAGCTGTCTTTCCCTGCTGTGATTTTTGGACTGATTTTGCAGTATTGTCAGCATCCCCTGTAACCCTAAAGTGCAGTAGGAGGTCACTTTGTTAGTCTAGATTGGGAAACTTTCACTCTAGTCCACCTTCACCAACTTTGTGGCTATGTGAAATCCCTCAGAGTGATCCCAGCAAAGATATCCATCCCCTTGGTTTGGAAAAGAGAGCAAAAGGTTTGGGTGAGATCCATGCACTGATTGTGAGGTTGGGCTTGCAGGTAACCAGGGGAACAAAGTACCATGGAAAGGCAACGCGACTTAAGCTGTGAAGCCACAGTGCTGCTTGTCCTCTGTGGTTATCAGCCAGCCAAACAGGTTAGCCAGCCTTGCAAAACAAAGAAGGGCAGAGTGTTAAGAACAACTGAAAATGGAGGAGAAAGGAGGCTATCTGGAGGAAAAAAAAAATTGGAACTGCTAATGGCAAAAGGCACAGGTGTCATTAGAGATGTTACTTCTTACTGTTGTGGTTTCATTTGGCAGTAACTAGAAACCCTGCATGGTAGAGCACAAGATGGCAGAAACAAGTGCTTGTAATGTCTTTTCTTTCTTTTGACTTGACCAGGCTCGATTCACTGAGCCACTGGAGAACAGTTGCTTCCAATATGGGATTAACTCAGCATATCTCAGGAAGGTTGTCTCCTACTGGAAAAACCAGTTCAATTGGAAGAAGCAAGTTGAAGTCCTCAATAAGTACCCTCAATTCAAAACCAAGATTCAAGGTGTGTGGCTTTTTCCCTTAAAAAATAAACAGGATTATGTAATCTTGTCTACAAGGGATCTCGGTGGTAAGAAGGCTATGGTTGTGTTGCATGGGCCTTCCCTCCCTGGCTATGGTGGTGTGGTTCATTGGCACCGCTGAATAACAATAACTGAGCAAGTTATTGTTTCCTGGAAAGCAAAGCCTTGAATGGGTTTGAGGGAAAGCAGTTCACCTCAAGTAATTAGTGCAACGCTGCCTGAAGCCTACTGCTTACACACTGTAAGAATCACAAAGGAAACAGGACTGCAATTTTTACCTCTTTAACAATGAGGCGGCAACTGGTACTAGAACACGGTTTCCTGGTTTGGTTTACTCAGAGAGATACTGAAAGCTTCGGACAAAAGGTAGAGAAGAGCAATGAAATTAAAACTAACTCTCTCTTAGCAAAGCATTTTTTCAAATCCTTGATTCAGCATGATTGGTTTAGCACAGTTAAGATGTGCGACTTGATAAGGGAGGCCTCCACAGAGAGAGAACACTTCCTGAAGGCTTTTTAAATTCCTTCTGCTGTCACATTAGGATCAGTGGCTGGAGACGAGAGCCAGACGTTTTCAAATGGAAACTAAGGCATTCACAAAACAAGGAGAGTGATTAACGCCTCCACACCCCCTCCCCACCTCACCCCCCCAACAGTTATGATGGATTCTCTATCTCTTGATGCATTCAAGTTGCAATTTGTGCCTTTCAGGAAGCAAAATCTGTGGTTGGCTGAAGCCATATAGGGACATTTGGGTAAAATTTAAGGGCACTTGGACTCAATGATGTAATCGTCTCTTCTGCCTTTAAGCTGTGTGAGTCACTGTTACTGTTAGTAGATTGCTTCACTTCTATGTCTTAATTTGCCAATTTATTTTCAAACAGAAATACCGACCTCATTTGGCTGCTGTGATGCTTAATTGCCCATTATAAAGTACTTTAAGGTCCTTGGATAAATGCATTCAGAGAAGTGCAGTGTGTTTGCATGCTCACCAAAAAAGGACTTCAGAAAAGATTTATTCATAATCTGTTCTGTGATTAGTTTCAGTGTCATGGTAGATTTGGGCATGTTAATTAATTATTTTCTTTTTACAGGCATTGATATCCATTTTGTTCACGTAAAGCCTCCTCGTTTGCCTGAAGGCCAGTCTGCGAAGCCATTATTAATGGTTCATGGTTGGCCCGGCTCATTTTACGAGTTTTACAAAATTATCCCCCTCCTGACTGATCCTGCAAGCCATGGCCTGAGTGATGAACACGTGTTTGAAGTCATTTGCCCATCTATCCCTGGTTATGGATTCTCAGAAGCACCCCACAAAAAGGGTATGGTGTAGGAGAAACTGAACTAGCACAAGCCCAGGCTCACAGTGAGACAGCCCCTCTTAGCACAGCAGTAACTCCTGGCTCTTACTTTCCCAGTGTAGAAACAAAGATCCTGTGTCATGCGCGAAGAGGGAATTAAGAGTGTGACTTTAGGTGACACCATTAATTAGTTTCAGGAACAATGTATAGATCATTTACAAAGGCCTATAAAAAGCTATGAAGTGACAACTCAGGAACTCTAATTGAGTCAGTAAATTGGGGGGGGTTGAGCAGGAAGAGTAAACATTGCTGTCCCTTTTTGGGTGTTTTGAATCCATACTCAGCAGCGTTAGGCGGGCAGGTGAGAAGCAGCGGCTGTGACACATCGATTCATGTATCTGCGTGGTAGATCGCAGCCAAACCTGCTTGTTCAGCTTGTGCTCTGAACTGCACCAACACAAGCTGCAGCGAACGGGAGCAAGGTAGTAATTAAAGTCACACTGAGCGCAGTATTTCATTATGCGTGCAGGTGAACGATGTGGGGACGGTGGGTTTTGCTCATCACTGCTTCCCTGGTTATGATTGAGGAGGTCAGCGTTTGGGGAGGTGCAGAAGTGCATCATTTAGTGGAAACTTAAAAGTTTCCAGCTATCATGGTGAGACTGTGTTCACAGTAGACAGAATGGAAGCACGTTCCCTGGGCGATGCTCAGTGGCCCTGACAGGGCTCAGCTGGAGCATGGCTGCAGTTTAAGGGGAGCCTGGCTACCCCATGGTGGGGTTAGGAGAAGGCTAGTCTGCAACGGAGGGTGGGCTTTGCCCTCGCGGTTGCTGCTTGCTCTCTAGAGCTTGCCTGGACGATGTGACGAGTGCTTCCATTAAATCTGTGAGACAGGCAAGGAAAACCCACTTGGAGCTTTTTAGGAACTTGAAGGTTGCCTTTATGGGGTGAAGTCATGTTGCACAGTCAGAAGCGTAGCTGGAATTAATGCAACTGTGTTCTGGTGTTGTTTTATTTTTTTTAATGCAGACTTTAACTCTGTAAGTGCCGCTTCTATTTTTTATGAATTGATGCTCAGACTGGGATTCAACGAGTTCTACGCCCAAGGTGGTGACTGGGGCTGGCTCATCTGCACCAATCTGGCCCAGATAGCTCCCAAGTGAGTATCCCTTTGGTCTGGTGCCATGTACCTGTCATGCAAAGCTGGTTTATTCTCTGAGCAGTTACTTCTTGTGCACTTGAGAGTTCCTGTCTGAGTCCTCACGTGCGCACTGTGTAGTTTCTGTCTTCGGGGCTCAGTGGTGATCCAAAATTACACACTTTAGTTTGAACCGTGTACCTGTTCTCTCTAACAGTTGTGCAGTAGTTTTGTATTTGGGAAGCTGGAGTGGGATAGGTACTATAAAAAGGGAGGATTTGTGGCTTAGAGCCCAGGAGTGTGCGCTGGTTACTGTCAGTTTCCCCTTTGACTTGTCGCTTCTGTGTGAAGAGCCAACACCACGGAGTATAGCTAAGCTCATGAGGTAATTAGCAGGTCAGAATTTAAGTACATCCATTTTTGTTCATAACATTTTAAAGATAACAGCTTCGAATGCCACTTCATTAAATCTTAATTTGGGGGGGCTTTTTCTGTTTTTATTTTTAGCCACATGAAAGGTCTCCATTTAAATCTAGCCTCGGTGACGAACATGGGCTTCATTCAGCTGCTCTCCATTCTGCTGGGCCGCTATCTTCCAGGGCTCTTCGGTTTCCAGGATGAAGATGTTAGGCGGATGTTTCCCTTCCTGAAAAAAGGGCTCTACAGGATCTTGTCGGAGTCCGGCTACGCTCACATACAGGCTACGAAGCCCGATACTGTTGGTAAAAAAACCCTTTTGAGCTCAGAATACTTCGTCTATTTTAGTTGTGCTGTCACAGAAACAAAACATTCTGCTGACAATATGTAGAAAATCAGGTTCTTTCCAGGGAAATTGAAGTAGGAAGGTTGGAGTGGGCTCCTTTCCTAAATCCAAGTCCGAAAAGGTTAAATCTGGGTATAGAGTATTACACTTGCTTTTGCATGCAGAAGTGGTAACTCTGCACAAAACTGAGCATGCTCTCAGTGCCACTGACCTCATTTTCGGTTTTCATAAATAAAATAATATAATGCTTTCCCACTTTTGCTGTCACAGGGGACTGTAATTCTGTTTCAAATGCAGCTGTGCTGTGAACGAAAGATGGCTTCTTCGCAGAGAGTGGATCACATTCAAATGATGTAAACTGCAAGAAGCTTTTAGCTGTCTCGGCACGCGATGTAGCTTATTTATAGGGATAAGTAATACCTGGAAAGTAAAATCAAATTTTGTTTTCACACATTCTGAAGCACTTGCAGACTTTCAAGGGAAAAAAAAAAAGGTGTGGGGGGACACTTACAAATGTTCTTTCAAGATGAGCTAGTTGCTCAGGTTGCTTAACTACTTTAAGTATCAGAGTATTAAGTGTTTCTATTTCAAAAACATCTTTTACTACTGAATTGGACAACTGAATCAGGAATAGTGAATATATTTTAGTTTAATGCAGCAGCAGTTCACTTGTGGACTTTATTAAAACTTAGCTAAGGAAACTATTACTTAATGGTTTTCCAGAAGCTTACCTACAGAAGCAGGTGTATTCTTAAAATGTGTAGGCCAAACCATCATTTTATGGATTTACAATAATTTTGCCACCTTTTGAGTTTTGATTTCTAAAAATTACTAGCCTGTAATTGTGCTTAAGAAAAGATGGGGAAGCTGGTAGCTGGAAGATGCCTAGCCATGCTCCTCCTGGTCTGGTTTGCTGGTGGATTCTTGTCTCTACCAGTAACATGCAGTCTGTCAGAGACAACTGCGCAGACGGGGAACCAGCAGTCGGTTTGTGTTCTGGGAGACAGAGCAAGAGCATTCTTGCAATTTTGTGGATAAAGAAGAGAGGACCATGGTAGGTAGCAGGTTCTTGTAGGAAGAAAAACACGCTGAAGAAGGGAGCATAAGGTAGCTGGAAGAAGCACAGCCGTGGAGGCTACCACAGTCTTCCTGAGACTTCTGGTGGTACAGGGCTACCTTGCAGGCTGTTCTAAGAGAGGACATTGTCTCTGGCTCTTGAGATAT